CATTTCGTATTTTCGTTGGTCGTTCGGAATCCTACTTCATCTTGTTTTTTTTTAATTTTTTATGTTCTTAGTACAGGTACTTTGCCTAATTTTTGACCAACTTTAAAAATTCGTAAAAATTCAAAATTTAATTGGAATCAGCTCAAACTTTCTACACATCATAAGGACAAGTATATGCATCAGGAAATGTAATAAAAATGGAGAACTTTCTCCTTTTCATTTTTGGCGAAATTTGGCTAATGACCCTGTACTACAGTACAGGGACTTTGGCATAATTTTTGACCAACTTTAAAAATTTGTAAAAAATCTAATTTTAATTGGAATGTTCTCAAACTTTCTACACAACATAAGTACATGTATATGCATCAGGAAATGTAATAAAAATGGAGAACTTTCTCCTTTTCATTTTTTGCGAAATTTGGCCAATGACCCTGTACTACAGTACAGGGACTTTGGCCTAATTTTTGACCAACTTTAAAAATTCGTAAAAAAATCTAATTTTAATTGGAATGTTCTCAAACTTTCTACACATCATAAGTACATGTATATGCATCAGGAAATGTAATAAAAATGGAGAACTTTGTGTTTTCAATTTTTACAAAATTTTGCCAATGACCCAGTACTATAGTACAGGGAAATTTGTAAAAATCTGATTTTGATTGTACAATGAATTACATGTATGCTCTCTCCTCTTTTCTCTCATTCCTTCTTCTTACCATTGTTTTATTTCTAATGTCAAATATTCTTAATTGTCCATCATCAGATACTGACCACAGAGCTTTACCTTCAGTACAGTATTCATCAACTGTAGAATAAAGTAATAAATTATAATAATAATGTAAATTCCTTAACTGCTAAACACAGATATACATGTACATACATAGTATACATGTAACTACATGTATAATCACAATCTTACATGTTTAATACTTGGAATCTTAAGAATTTAATAATATACATGTACGTGTAATTCTAAAATGGAGCAAAATAGTCATTATCTTAGCAAACACAAAAATATTCCATTTTAATGTTGTGATTACATGTACAATGTACATGTAATCCTAAATACATGTACTATGGGATACAATGATGACTGACCAATAGGATTGTTTCCAGGTGGAAAGACAAGTGACGAGTCTGATAATAGACCACACCCATTTATTGGAGTGGATATGTTACAATACGTAAATAGACAATTTGATGAAGCACAGTTCCATAGCTTAATAGTCCCGTCTCTAGAGGACGCTAATTAATTAATTAATTAATTATGGTGATGAATAAATAATGAGCTTACATATAATGTTACGACCTTTTTCAATGATACAAGTATCAGTAATACCTAATGATAATAATAATAATAATAATAATAATAATAATAATAACAATAATTATTATAACTATATACTACCAATATACTAATAATATACTAATAATATACTAATAAATACTAATATTATACTAATAATATACTAATAATATACTGATAATATAGTAATAATATACTAATAATATACTATACCTCTAGTGTGTCCAGTGAGTGTCCTAGCACAAGACCCATCCTTAATAGACCATATTTTAACCCTGTAATCACTAGCACCACTCAGTACCACCAGACCTGATGGAAAGAACCTACAGCTATCAACATCACCCACGTGACCTTCCAGTACACGCTAAAAATAGTAATGATGACATCATCTATTACTATAAATAGTATCAGTTACTCTGTTAGTCCCAGTGTCTGTTTCCCATATCCATAGTTCTCCATTCACTGATGAACATACGCCTAATTCACCACTGGGGGATATGTCCATACTTAATAACTAATAATAATAATAATAATAATAATAATAATAATAATAATAATAATAATAATAATAATATATTAAGTATTGTGCTAACTGGTTTGTTGTATTCTGTTAGTTTTATTGTCTTGTTTGGTGCAGTGAATTGTGTTACTGTATCAGTAACTAAACACTGAACTAATAATGAATACTGGAGGAGAGGGAGAGAGAGAGAAAGGAGAGAGAGAGGGAGAGAGAGAGAGACAAAAATTAAGAATAAGGTATGGATCTTTCCCACAACATGGTGACTCATGAAATGTCATGTTGTGGAGTGGAAGTGCAGAGCTGAATGGGGCAAAAGTAAATTGTCTAAAATGTACGTTCTGATTCCCTCAGACATGCATAATTCTATCATAAAAAACAACAGCTCCATCTTAACATGCTCCATCTTAACATGCTCATAACAACATGCTCCTCTTAATTCTTTGAATTAAAAAGGTTTTAATTCCGAAGGTTTTCGAGACATTTCTGCAAGAACTCATGAATTATGTTTCCTTTTTTCATCTACAATACGGCAGGCAAGGCTCTCCCTATAAAACCTTTTAAAAACCCTCACTTGTACATGTCTACGGTGACCTGAACCATCCCAAAAACTGTACGTTATTTGAATAACCTCATCTGGAGGTACAACATACAAACAACATAATTATAATCATAATTATGCCTCAGATATGCATAATTCTATCATAATCTGATCAGTGCTGTGATGTGGTCTTAGTAATTGCTTGCACAGAAAATAAAGAAATAATTATATTGCATTTATCTATGTATCCCCAACATGGCAGCCCATTAATGATATTCATTGCTAGATACACAGTATAGCATTCAGTATTAATTATTGGTATATACACAGTATAGCATTCAGTATCAATTATTACTTTGTTCCAATTCTTAATAATGAATTTCTGTTGTTCATCAGTAGGAGCTGTTTCATGTACATCAGAGAGAGGACTACACAAACTACCAAATATAGTAGGACCATCTATTATTAATTATATATTATAAATAATTAATAATTATTATTATCAATAAATTACCAGCTCTTTTCTCCTGTATCCAAAATTTTTCATTTGGTCTAGCAAATATAATATACATAATTTAATGTGAATAATGTAAAACTACTTTTGGATGACTTCTTCCCAGTCCTTTTGAATGTTCATTTTGATAGTAAGCCACGCCTGATAGGTGGAGCTACCATTACACGTGATAACACGTGGGTATTGCACACGTGCCTACACGTGGTCATGTAATGCTGAAAGTTGAATTGAAAGTCTGACATGCTGCTATTGTATAAAGCAAGTTGTCTGTAGTTTGTAGATTTGTACCTCTCCTTTTCTTTGAGCTAAGGATTAAGACTCTGATATAATGATGACTAAATTTGATGGCATCAAACACTTGTGTGCAAAGCATGTAGAAAGAGGGATGCCTAGAGGTGTCCAGATTATGCTAATTTTTTTTACCTATAATTCTATTCAGAAATTCTCAAAAATTTGCCTATTATTCTTTTTACTCTCCCCTATTATTCTCACATTATTCTTCATAATCATGAGCTAACTACAATGAAAATGAAAAGTAGTAAGTCTAAGAAGCCATTTAAAGTATCACTATCAGCAGACTGAGCAGATACTGCAAAACATAAGTCTCTATATCAATTTCAGAACCTGAAATTTCTTCAAAAATAGAGTTACAACTAGCACAGGCATTAAAAATTTCAAAAAATGGTGCACTTGCTGCTCTTTAATTAGAGTTTGGTTCAGTAGTGGCTACTGATCCACCTATTAGGCCAGCATTATTCTGGAATTAAAGTGCTACCTCTATTATTCCCAAAATTATTCCGGAATAATCAGGACACCCCTAGAGATACCCCAAAGTGATTGAGATAGTTAAATGATATTCAGTGTTTTCTGGTAGCTATTTTCATGAAGTGCTAGTCGCATTGATATACCGGGCCCATCATGTCTTCAAATACACCCATTATTAGTCTCAAAGCCAGAAACTAACCCATTACGTGTATTGATAGTTTGATACACACAGTTTCTCTACTGGTATATCTACAGCACAATTCAGGAAGCCCTAATTGTTTAGGATTAATACCTTTATTATTAATACTTTTATTTTTATTTTATCTTACAACAGTTGTTCATTAACAGTGATAGAGGTAAGTATATTATATATATATATAGATCTACTATACTGTCCCAACTGAGTTTGGACCAAGAAAAACTGGAATAACTTTTTATAGGAATGTGGGATAAGGATGACACTTTCACAGGTTCTTAGTCGCCCAATGCCGCTTCAAGATCTCAGGTATTGGGTCTCTCAACCCTTGGGAACTCTGAGAACCGGGTTCTCCCTATAAACCCAATGGCATACCAAAGCTAACCGCAATGACGTTATATGATGTCATAGTTTACATAAGCACATGTGGTGGAGACTGGAGAGTGCCCGAACTGATAATTCTTCTTTTAAAATGCTAATAGAGCGAGATCTTCTGATAATGATGGCCTTTATGAAGACTAGTTGACTCCAGGAGCTATTGTACTGCTTATCAGGAAGAACAGGACTGTTTTAAGAGTAAAACAACACAGCCGAAATAGCGGCCATATCTCTATGAAATCATTAATAATAATAATTATAAAACGTCATTAGTGACGGAACTACATTTTTCAAATTCCAATGCAGCTGCTTCGTGCTTCCACCATAGATATTTTTCCTGTACTCTAATATCTATGCTTCCACTTCCGGTCCATTCTCAGTTGGGACAAAGCTTCCACTTCCGGTCCATTCTCAGTTGCATTGGGGCATTGCTAATAATTACAAGCAGTAGATATATCAAATAAGTTGATCCATCAGCAATAAATCAAAATTATATACTTAGTCTTAAACTGAGAAAAAAGAGAAGAAGATAGAGAAGGAGTGCTTAAGGGGCGGGGCACGAGACTACTCTTTGCTCAGTTGTTGCTGGCGGCATTCACTCACAATTTTACATATAATGAAGAATAATACTTAATGTTATACATGACAAAACGTTATATAGTCTATTTATTAAAAGGGTTGCAGCATCCTTTACACCTGCACTTAATACAAGGTAACTCGTTATAGAAACAAGGACATTTCTTCTTCATACAAATAAGATGTCTGTACATAACACCTGGATTAGTACCACACCTACAGTTATACTTCATTTCTCAGGCTCTTAACCAACTCAATCTTCTTCTCTTCCCTTTCAACAAACAACCCTTCATCTTCAATAGGCCCCGCTACTAATGGAGCTCTCTTTCCTTTCTTCTTTACTGCCGGGTGTATTGGTTGGTGTCATCTTGGTACTAGTAACAGGATTAGAGTATTTTGTAAATAATCGTCTTTTTAAAGACAAAATGAATGGATCTCGGCCTCCTCCTAATGCTCAATGATATTGAAATCTATAGACACTCTTGATGATCAAATGCCATTCGTTGATAGACTAACTGAGATAAGTACAACTA